AGCCCTAATAGCCAACTAAAAAATGCAACGAGTAACGAGCACGAGCCCGGCACCGGCACCGGCACCGGCGACGGCGGTGGCGCGCGTATGTGTTTTTGCATAATGCCATTTTACTTCCACAATGATGTTGACCCTTATTGTGAGAATGCCATATATATACAAGAGATTTTTCTCTTTGGTGAGCAATGTGGGACAAATACACTTCCACTAAACTTTCACTTTTAGTTATAGCCAATAGGAATATTTCATTTTCATAGGCTCAAATCCAAATCTCAAATGAATTTATAAGGCCCATTTGCTTATTAAACTTTATTTCTTATTCACACACAAACTCAATATTACAAGTCCAAATGCTTATTAATATTGGGTTCCAACAAATTAAGTATGAGAAACGAATCCACATTGTCTATTAAACAGTAATTGGAAAAATAACCATAAGTCAATAATTGTACTTCTATTTCATTCTGTAAAACTACATGCTATGTGTTTTAAAGTATTCCACTCTGTAAATTTTTTTTTTAAAATTAATATTAATCAGAAAATTAAAGAAAAAACATTATTAAGTAATTACAACGTAGATTGTTGTACTGTAAGAACCAGAAATAATACTATATTTAGTAATTTGTTACTCATACACAAAATAGAGTTTATAAAAATAGTTAAAAACAATTACATATAAATTCTCTCAAATTCCTCACGAATTCAAACCACAATTGATTCCTCTTTTCCCAAAACTATAAATCAAAAAGCAAAATTAGTATAAAAATAAAGTAATTGGTGAAAACTAGAAAATGGATGCAAAAGGAATAAACGAGAGAGTGGTGATATTGGTCATAGTAGTGGCTATGCTTATGAACGCGACATGGTGCGTGAACGGTGAGAATAGCTCTTTAAAGAGTGCTGTCGGAACAGGTGGTGGTTTAATGGAGAGAGACCGCATTTTCATGGAGTGTGCCAAGGAGAGATGCATGCCTAAGCTTAATGATTTGCACAAGTGCTTCTTAGCGTGTCAATATTATTTGACTAAACCTCTTGAATATCAAGTATCTCGCCATATTGGTTCAGGTCTTCCTAATCTTAAATCTCCTACCAGCGAAAAATCTGGTTGATCTTATATTATTTCAAAATTATGATGATATATTTGTAACTATGGCATAAATATTTTTGGAATTTATTATGTGACAGTGTAAGAGATTGTATCTATGTTGAGAGTTGGAGTTGTACGATTTTTTTTTTAATTTATAATAAAATGAAATGATATTATATCCAGTGTGCTTTAGAAATATTTTGGTTGTCTTTCCAAATAGTTGGCCTATACGTGGTCCATTTCAAATCTGGGACGGTATAAGAAGAAAACGAAAACAAACAATTTGATTGTACAACTCAAGATATACAGTATTTAGCTGTTATTCACCTCCTCATAAAACACCATTTAATAAATCAACATCGACCTTGCACTCCCGCTCAATCGATATACGACGTCGTAGGAGGGGAATGGTTACACCAAAATATTCAGCCTGTAAAATAAGTGAAAACTAATTTGGATATATATAATCTTATTATACGTAATACTAAAACTAATTTTAAATTCAAGAGAAACTGACATATTTCATTCAACATAAAACCCCATGTAATAGTACGATAAAAATAAATCAAAATAACGTGTAATATTTTCATGTCTCACTTATTAACCAACCAATTGTTTTCCGCATAATCCTTTGCTTCGGAGTAACTGTTTACCAATTTCGAGAATATAGACAAACAAAATTAGTATCTTTATATCAGATTAAAAATATTAGAAAATTTAATCACTATGTTTACATTCTTTTTTAGTTAAAAACTGGGTATTTAGTCCGCGACTTGCGCGGGCCAAAAAGTTTTAAAAACAAAAAATAAAAATTTATGCTATAAATTGAAAATAATTAAAACAACTATTTAAGACATAAAAAATTAAAATAAAGTTAACTAAAAAAGTAAATAAAATTCGAAATTAATTACTTAAAAAAAACTTTATAACTGAATAATCCACAACTAATTTAATTAAAATAAATTCTAGTTTTTCGTTTCTTATTTTTTCCTCTTCATTATTTTTTTTCTTTCTTCTTCATCATTTTTTCCTTATTCTTCTTTTGTCCATATTTTTCTTGTTTTTTTTTCATGTCTTATTCTTCATTTTGTTTTCTTCTTCCAATATTTCTTATTCAAATTTATCATTCACATCTTTTTTTTATTATTTAACACATTCGTCTTCTTCGTCTTTTTCTTCTTTTTTGTTTTTACGGTTTATTCTTTTTCTTCTTATGATTTTTTTTTTCATATTACGTACTCTTCATACTTTTATGATTCTATATCTTTTGAGGCTGAAAAAAAATATAAATACACATTTCAAACTTAAAACGCTCCTTAAAAGTGTGTTATATTTATTATTAGATAAGAAAACTGCATTAACTTTTGTAGCTTGCTCCTTTCGAACAATCAAAACTATTTTTGGGTAATCAACTTTAAAAAAGAGCTTAAACATATATACCAAAAAAGAAATTTTCAAAATTTCTTAATGATGCTAATAACAAAAATATCAAAAATTATAACAAATATCAAAATAAGACTTTCAGTAAAATGGAGTCTCCACAAAAAGGTTGTGACATTTTTACGGTCCTAAGATTTGCAGATTTTTGTATATAATTTATCATCGATTTTTTTCACATTGTTGTGCTAGAATATTTATTTGTTACCCTATTAAATAATTTTAAAAAATAAAGAAAATACAAAATTAGATGGAATCGAATCCTTCCAACATACAAACTTAAGAAAACTTAGAGTTTTAGCTACTTAAACATAAATTTTACATCTCAAATATTTTTGTAAAAATTTCAGATAATTCATATATATTTTTTAATAAAACTTAAAATTTATTAAAAACATAGAAATATTTAATATAAACATGTGAATACATATAAAACATATAAATATATATGAATTATCCGATTCAGAATGGTCTATAGGGTAATTCCATCTAATTAATACATGCAACTCGGATAATTCATATATATATTTTTATTAAAAAACAATATCTAAGTATTTATCAAGACTTATTTAAAGATTAAGGGAGTATTATAACTATATATGATGATTTTTCATTTTCTAATGTTTTTTTATAATTCATATAAATATTTTTTTTTAAAAAGAAAATAATATCTAAGTATTTATTAAGTAAGATTTACTTAAAGATTTATGGAGTAACATAATTATCTATGATGATTTTCGATTTTTAATATTTTTTATAAAAATTAATTTAAATAAAATTAATTTCTTTTTTTTTTTTTTTAAATTATGATTTTAGTTGTAAAATCGTGATTTTTGATTTGATAAAATCGTAGATTTTGATCTGATTGAGATAAAATCATGTATTTTGATTTGATTTAATATTATTACAATCTATATATAATCGTGATTTTAGTTGTAAACAATTCTTTTTTTGTTTTTTTTAAGTAGCCACTCTGAGATTCAATGAGAAAGCTTTAAACGAAATTTTTACTTCACTTATAATATATATGATAAAGAGTGAATAACCCTGAAATACTAGATTCCAAACCAAAAAAACCAAACGAGAAAAATTCTAAAACAATGTTAATTTATCAACTTTCTTTAATAAGTTACTACATTTTAATCTGTATATCTACACGTGGTCAAAATTTTTATAAACTAAATTATGATTATTTATTTTAAGTATTTATGATCAAAGATGTTGAATTTGTAAATGCTACACATATAAGTAGTAAAAATTTATTATTTTGTTGATTTATTGTGTGAAATGTGTTTTGATGTTTATATCCTTACGAATGAAATTAAGTATACATTGATGTAATTTTAATTATAAACTTTGTTATTATATGATTTTAGATTATTATACAATCAATATATATATGAGTGTAAAAATGGGCCAACTTATCTTTTAATCAGTCCATTATATTGCATATTTTGAAAAATTAATATATAAAAGATTATGATTATAAAAACATAATCATATTCTCACCTTAAATATTACCATATATTATAAATAATTATTAATTTTTATATATTTATAATTTTTTATTAATTAAATATGATAAAAATATAATAACATATAGAGATCTATGTAATAACATATTCGAGTTTTTTTTTTATTATTAAATAAAAAAAAGTAAAGTTGTCTGCAATCAGGCATTCGGTTCATTGATTTGGTTTGGTTCGAATGTATTTGGTATTCAAATTTTTAAAATTTAAAATATGATTTTATTCAAGATTTCTAATTTAGTTTAGTTTGGTTTGGTTTTCAGTTTTTTTTGGTTGTACAGATAGTAATTGAATCAAAATTATTTTTGTGTAATTTAATTATTTTAGATAATATTGTTAATTTTCAATAAAATAGAGAATTTGAAAAGTGTAAAATATAAATTAACCAACAAAATTGATAAAAAAGGAAGAAAAACATTTTATAATTTTATACAGTAATTAATATCATCTTCAATATTATAATTTTGCTCTCCAACATGATAAAAAAATGAATAGTTTATTGATTTAAACTACGATTGAAGACTAACAATCTTTGGATATATGATATTAAAATATTTTTCTCAATTATAAAAATTAAAAATTCATACAATAAACTAAATTAGTTTTAAAATATCTACTACAAAAAAATTCAATACAAAATAAATTGATTTATTTTTTAACATCACAAACTTGCATTAAACTGAAAATGATAAAATAAATTGGTTTTATAATAAAAAATGATATGGTATATAAAAATCTAAACATATTTATATAGGTTAGATTTCAATTTGGTTATCTAATCGGTTAATTTGGTATTCGGTTAATAAATCAAACCGAACAAAAAACTAAATTCTCTAAATATAATAATCTGTCCATTTGAGTTATCCGGGTTACCCAAACCTAAACCAAATAACATTATTCGGTTCGGTAAATATGCCGATCTTTTGGATGGATTGTATATGTCTTTTTTTTTTTTTTGTCGACGATTGTATATGTTTGTTGCTCGACCCAAAATGCGAATAGATACGTAATGATTAATCGTCTTCCTCGTCGATCGTCATCATTAACCTAGCTAAGCTTCTCTCACTATCCTCCTCTTTTATTTTCTTCTACTTTCCTCTTTTTCAGTTTTTACATTGAGGTTGATCGTGTTCATAGTTCGTACGAAACCCTAATTGAGTAATTGCTAGTTCCTAGTTCCTACTCTCTTTCGAATTTGGTATCTAATCTTGGAGAAGGGCTAAAAAAAAACTTACCAAGGAAATTACTTTCTGCGAAGTCACTATAATTCCATATTCATCATCACTGCTAATGTTTGTTTAAATTAGAGTAAGCTATTTTTGTTTTTGTTTTTTTTTCTCGATTTTGGATGTGCAAATAGAAGAAAATAACAGATTTGTTGGAGAGAGCTGTTTTCAGTAACAGCCAAAAAAGAAAAAAATCCCAAAATTAGCAGGAACGAAACACAAAACTGTTAAAACTATCTATGGCGAAAATGGATTTGTGTTGTTGATATCTATTTGGACATTCCACATTGGTTTGTTTGTTCGATCTAATTAATTTTTTTTATTTTTATTTTTATTTTGGTGATTGTTTATTGTGAGCAACTAACAGCTATTCAGGTCTGTGTTGTAATTGTGGTTGTGTAAGTTTTTGAAGACTATTTAAGAATAAAAATGCAGACTCGATACAAAATATACTCCAAAAGGAGAAAGCAATTGGTTCTTCCAAAGGAAAAACAAACCCAAGAAAATGGGATTTGTGAAGGGAAATTCCAAAGCATGTCTCTTTATTGGATTCTTGTTCATTCTTAATCACGTCTTTGCTCAAGAAAGCGGCAATGAGGAGAGAAAGGTCTGCAAAATGGTTGTCTTATGTTGTTATGTCCTTGGTTGTGTTATGTTTTGGTGAAATTGTGACTGATGAAAACCTTGTCTTTTTCTTTCTTTTGAGGTAGGTTTATGTTGTGTATTTAGGCGAGAGGCAACACGATGATCCTAAGCTGGTCACCAAATCACACCGCAAGATGTTGAAATCGGTTTTGGGAAGGTATATGATAAAAAAAAACGGGTTCTTTCTGATGATGATGTCTCATTGATCTCATCTCTCTAATTGATTTTTTTTGTTTGGCTTTTGAATTGATGAAGCTCGGAAGCTGCTCGAGAGTCCCTCATCTACAACTATAAACATGGATTTTCCGGGTTTGCAGCCAGGCTTACAGAGTCACAAGCTAAGAAACTTTCAGGTTTGTATCATTTTTTGATTTTTATAGGGAACAAAGTAGTTTAAGAGCTCACACATCTTCTGACACGTTTTGTTCCATGGGTTTTTGTGTTTCATGGTCATATCCAGACCGTCCTGATGTTTTCAGTGTCGCATCAAATCGAAAGGTTCAGTTGCAGGCCACAAGGGTTGGCGAGTATATGGGTCTTTCACCAATTTATCCCAAAGGAATTCTCCATGACACCAACATGGGAAGTGAAGTTGTGATTGGTGTTCTTGACACGGGGATATGGCCAGAGTCTCGAGCTTTTAGCGACGAAGGGCTTGGACCGATACCAAAACATTGGAAGGGGAAATGTGTAGCCGGAGAGGACTTTGACCCAGCAAAGCACTGCAACAAGAAGCTTATAGGAGCAAAGTACTTTCTTGATGGCTGGGATGTGAAAAACAAAGGGATCAATTTAACCGAGGATGAATATAGATCCCCTAGAGGTTATAAACAACACGGAACGCTGTGCGCTTCAATTGCAGCCTCTTCTTTCGTGCCTAACGCTTCAGTAAGTGGTCTTGCACCTGGAGTCATGAGAGGCTCTGCTCCAAAGGCTCGTATAGCTATGTACAAGGTTAGCTGGCAAACGACTGGTGGTAGTAGAATTGCGGATTGTGTCAAGGCATTTGATGAGGCCATCAATGACGGCGTTGACGTAATCTCGGTTTCATTGGCACCGGACGGGCCTCCTTTCAAACCATATAACGCGATTGGGGAAGATCTTGAGCTTGGTTCGTTCCATGCAGTGACAAAAGGCGTCCCGGTCGTGACTGGTTCTGGTAATGATGGCCCCACAGCTTACACTGTGGTTAATGCAGCTCCGTGGTTTATCACAGTCGGTGCAACTAGCCTCGACCGTGCTTTTTATGTAGACGTTACTCTTGGAAACAACTTAACCATAATGGTATGTAAAATGCTTCTTCTTCTTTTTTCCTTAAATTGTTTTCAATGGTCTCGGAAAATCAACTTACTCTTTTTTTTTTTCCCGTAATACTGTTTCAGGGTCAAGCTTTTTATACAGATAAAGAAGTGTTTGGTGATTTAGTTTACGCCGAAGACACGGAAGCCTCCAAATCTGAGCTGCTGCGGGAAAAAGTTGTCCTAACGTTTGTGAAAGAAGAAACAGACGTGTTGCATACTATCTCCGGTTCCAATGCCAAAGGGTTGATCATTGCACGAAGTTCTGATTATATATCTGAAACTTCTTTTCCATATCCAGCCGTCCTCGTAGACTATGAAGTCGGAACTAAGATTCTAAAGTACATCCGGTCGGCAAGGTATGTATCTCTTTCGAGGTCACATAGGTTGTAATAAAAACAAAAAAACTGTATCGTTTTCTTATGGCTTGCTTGTCTCTTCTCAGTTCGCCCACGGCTAAGATAAGCGGAGGTAAAACGCTCGTGGGACGTCCTAAAGCGACTACAGTTGCAGGATTCTCATGTAGAGGGCCTAATTCAGCCTCTCCAGCCATTCTCAAGGTTCCTTTTGTCTTAAACAACGTGTTTTCTTGAAATCTTTTGTCTCTGTTTAGTGACAAAAACAAAATAAAATGATGCAGCCTGATGTGGTAGCACCCGGCGCGATGATTCTTGGAGCTGACGTATCAGACAACCCACATGCCAAAGGATTCGCCATTGCTACAGGAACATCCTTTGCCACTCCTGTTGTTTCAGGAATCGTCGCACTTCTCAGAGCTTTACACCCTGACTGGTCTCCTGCCGCTCTCAAATCCGCTCTCATGACTACAGGTTCTTGAAAAACCCGACCTGTGTCTCCTTTTCTTCCTCCTAGCCACACTCGTTAGCGTCTAACCTTGCGGTTTCTTCTTCTTTCTTCTTCTTGTTGTTGTTATATACAGCGTGGAGGAGCGATCCAAACGGGGAGCCGATTTTCGCAGAAGGATTCCCACGGAAACTGGCTGATCCATTTGACTACGGTGCAGGACTCGTGAACGCTGAAAGAGCCAGAGATCCAGGACTTGTCTACGACATGAACCTCGACGATTACATCCACTATTTCTGCGCCTCTGGTTACAACGATACAGCGATCTCTGTACTCACCGGGAAACCGACAAAATGCTCGTCTCCTCTACCATCTATTCTCGACTTGAACTATCCAGCCATCACGATTCCTGACATTAAGGAAGAAGTGAGCCTCTCGAGAACGGTGACTAACGTTGGACCTGTGGATTCGGTTTACAGAGCCGTGGTCGAGCCTCCGCCAGGTATAAAGATTGTTGTTGAACCGGAGACTCTGGTGTTTAATTCGAGCACGAAGAAACTTGGGTTTAAAGTTAGGGTTTCAACGAGTTATAAGAGTAACACTGGTTACTTCTTTGGTAGCTTCACTTGGACTGATGGTACTCGAAATGTTACCATTCCTTTGTCTGTAAGGACTCGTGTTTCTTAAGCCTTGAAAAATAAAAAAAGATTCCTCAAAAATTCGTCATATAATGTTTTTTTTTTTTTAATGTATGCACAACAAAAACAAATAATAGAAAATCATAATTTTATTCTCTGTGTTTGACTCTAACTGAAATCACATCAATAATAACAAACTGTGACTGAGATTCTCTCTTTCTATCTTCTCTCTCCACCCAACAGACTTCTCTCTACATGAGAATCAACTATATATTTCATGTCTTTTAACCATCATTACATAAACAAGAAAAAAAAAACTTTGGTCTGAAAATTATCAGAGAAGGAAGAAAAAAAATGGGTGGAGGAAGCAGATATCAAGAACCAGTCAGGATGAGCCGTAGGAGACAAGTAAGGAAAGAGAAGCAAGAAGATGAAAGCTTCAAATCTCCAAATCTTGAAGCTGAGAGACGTAGAAGAGAGAAGCTACATTGTCGGCTTATGGCTCTACGATCTCATGTCCCAATTGTCACCAACGTAAATCTGAAATTAATCTCAATTTTTTTATCTATGTTTGTGTCTTGTGGTGATGATTACTCTACTTTTTGTTTTTTGTTTTTTGTAGATGACTAAAGCGAGTATTGTTGAAGATGCGATTACTTACATAGGAAAGCTTCAGATGGAAGTTGAGAATCTTACAGAGAAACTTCATGAAATAGAAGAAGCTCCTCCTGAGATGGATGAACAACGAACGAATCTGATCATAAAACCTGAACATGAAACTATTGATTTGATAGAGGAGATAAAGAAACTCGGAATCGAGGTTTTTTTTTAAAAAAAAAAATTTCTCTAATCAGTTCTTGATTGTTTTTTTTTCCTTCTTTTTTATCTTTCTTGATGATCTGTTTTTGTTATCTTGGACAGGAGAATGTGCAGTTATTTAAGATTGGGGATAGGAAGTTCTGGCTGAAGATTACAACAGAGAAGAAACCTGGGATCTTTACTAAACTCATGGAGGTTATGAGGTTTATCGGATTCGAGATCATCGACGTTAGTTTAACAACTTCAAGTGGAGCAATTCTTATATGTTCCTCTGTTCAGATACTCCAGGGACTCTGTGATGGTGACTCTGTAGATCTTGAACAGACAAAGGAATTTTTGTTGGAAGTCATGAAAAGCTATCCGTGAGTAATACATCTCCAGAAGTTAAAATTTCCATTGATCTACAATTAAATCCAGTTTAATATGAAGTGATTCAGATGAAACAGAATTGATGTTAGCCTGTTTACAAGCCAATGAGCTTCTTCATATCTCATTAATGTTAATCATCTTCTGTTTCTGTTTCTGCTTCTGTTTTAGTCCAGTGTTTGAACTTTGAACCTTCTGGTTGATATAGGGCTCTCTGTTTTCCTTTTCATGTGATACAGTGAGAAAACGTACATATTGTTGCAATTTCTTAGAGACTTGTAATGATCTACAAGAATGTGATTTAGGTTTTATGAAGCTAAATCTGGAATTCATATTAGAGGGTTTGAAATTTGATAGGAGAGTCAATCATTTGTGAACAAACTTCGTAGCTTGATTTTGGAGATCACAGAACAAAATTAGGAGGTGTTGTATTTTAAAGAGGATTTGATCAAAAAGAACAAATTTAGGGGTTTTAACTTTTAAGGACTCAAAGTTGACAACAAAAAGAAAAAAAAAAACTTTCATAAGGACATAGATATTGGGTTTTTGAGAGTATCAACAACAGATGATGAAGAAATGTAATTTCCCCCATTTGTTGAGGTAAAAAAAAGAAATCACCAGATAATATATAGGATCCGACCCGAAACGACCCGCATTCAACGTGGCTGAACCTACAATAGGGCTTTATCATAATGGGCTATAAATGAATTAGCTCTTAAATGAGCCAATTCTTGGGTTAACCCCATTTAAATCTCCTACTATTTCAGAGCAGCCTAACCCTAGTGAGTGATGTTCATTTGTAAGGGTAATAGGGTGTAAGGTTGGAAGTTGGAACCTAAGCTTTTGTATAAAAATCAAAAATATTCAATAGAGCCAAAAACAGAAGACAAGTATAATTTGTCCACCCCTTACCTAACACTCTAAAATAAAATATACCGTTAACACTTTTGACTACTCCACGAAATATTAATTTATAGTTTTTATATGGAATGAAAATAACACGATGACCGTTTCCATAAGTCAAATGACCCCACCCCAATCAGCAACCTCTATAGATTCTATTGAACTCAAACTCTATGAAAACGATGTTAAAATTGATTGGTTTAAAGACAAAAACCAGTAATTGTTGATTAGTTAACTGTACATACTTACATTTCTAGACTTCTAGTCACTTAAGTTACACACCAACTTCTATAGAAGGAATTTAACCAATTATATATATATATATATATTGACTAAAAGTCTAAAACAATTAATTAAAGTCATTGGTTAAGTAAAACCATAATTGACATGAGCACACAGATAGATGATGGAATAAGATTTAGGGAATCTCTCCAAGATTAAAAGAAGATCAAACCTAAACAATTCAAATGGATTCGAGTGGACAGTATGACTTAATCCATATATTAATATACCTATATAATGTAATTACTTGTTAGTGATCATTCTGGAATACCAAGTACCAAAAATTCATTTTAATCATATTTGTTTACTAGTTTTTCTGGAGAAAACAATAAGAAACTCCACTTTTTCAATTAGTTTTTGAGTGAGCGAGAACCAACGTGAATAACATATATATATATATATATATATGTATCATTTGGATGCTTGGAACCAAAACTAATAATCAAGTTATATCTCAAAGAGTAAGACTGAACTAAATCCGTATGTTTGTTTGAAGTTATCTTATTTATGGAATAAGGGGAAGAAAAGAAAGTATTAAACTTGTGCACGTAACCAACGTGCGTTTATACAAAAAGATGTCCGCATAAGTGGTCGTATAGACAAACGAGGCAAGCCAACTACCCTTTTGCGATGGATTTGGTAATGTTGACTTTCTTTTTTATGTTGTACGTATTCATATACCGTATAGCACAAAAGTGAATATAAGTTTGGAGGACGACAGATATCTCTATATTTATATGCTTAACGGTGACGTCATTTTGTTTTGTTTAAAATCCTGTACAAACTATAAATTAATAAACCCCAAAACAACTTCACGATGAATCATGAACAATATATATACATAAATTTTGTAAATTTTGTTTTTGTTTGCTTTCTTAATCAAATTTAATATCGCGCTTAAATGAATACTCAAAGTCTACATAAGATATGAAACATTTTTTTTCTTTGAAATACCTCCAAAAAGTAGCTACTTGTAATTAGTATAGTGTATTACCATCGCATATCAAATAGTAAGAATAACGATGATAATAAACTCACATGCATGTAGCGTTTTGCTTTTACTAAAAATTTATATTTTACGTACGTTAGGAAAAAAAAAATCTTATAACTTATTTGCTTATGACCTAACTTCCTAGCAACTATACACTGGTCGGCTCGGTAACATACCTTATTTTTTGTCCCATAATGATCAACTAATTAATAGAATAACCTATTAACTATCGGGAAAGTATATAGGGATAGCATAGAAAACTCTTGCGACTCTTTTTAAAAAAGAAAGATATCGAAACTTTGTTGTTGACTAAAACCTCACCGCCACCTATAAATACAAAACCCATCTCATGCGAACACCAACATTTCCAAGGAAATAAATTGAACAAACCTAAACCATATCGCCTACAACAAGTCAACAAGACATGACAGAAGAATTCGAAACCGCCGGAGTTTGTACCGAAACATCATGGAACTCAGCTAACAGCATGTTCTTGGCCGGCTTCTCTCTGCCACGTTCCACTGAGATTGCCATCGATACCGGCAGCTTTGAATGGCAAAACATTGACACTATCGATGTCAAAACCTATAACGAGAGCTATCATAATACTTCCACATTCTTAAGTGATACAAATTTTGATTCCAACTCACGAATTTATGTTTCGAGCCAATTTAACCTGTAAGTCCATCAATATCTTACGTGATGTGTAATCATAATCTTGATTCTTATCGACCTTCTTTTTCTTTCTTTTTTTTTCTAGTCATGAAGAGGAAAAATTCAATCCGGTAAATAGTTGTTTAAAAGGGTTGTTCGATTATAGTGAGCAACTACTGGTTCCTAATTGTGCGAAACCAGACCTATTCGAAAGCTTTCACTTATTCGATGACGTTTTCTTGAACGAATCAAGAACTGTATCAGTCTTTGATCACGAGATTAGAGAAAAAGCTGAGGAAGAAATACAAGCCTGGCAGAGTCTAATTACTTGCAAGGTACGTCAACATATTCACTTGATTTTCATTATATAAAATTTGTCATCTTTCTGTAAATTAAATTTGATTTTGTAATCATTTTTAGGGAGCAAGTGAGAAAACAGAAGAACTCAAAGATACTGAGTTATCACCGGCACCGCCACTAAAAAGGCAAAGACTCGAGACACCATCTCAGTTTCCGAGTTTCAAAGTTAGTACTTAGTAGCAAATATTACTACGTTTTTCAGAAGTCTCACGTAAACAATTAGTTATGAAAAATAACGCATATCCATGCACTTAATTTTTCATAAAGTTTACATCTCCGAGTTTATATATAAAAAGTCTTCCAACACAATACTAATATAATATTAAATTATAAATATTTTTTAAGTTGAAAATTTTATTTTTCAAAGTGCTATTTTGCAATATTTGTTGTACATTAGTGTTGTTTTTAATTTTCTTCCGAAACACTATTTTGGATGATAAGGTTCGTAAAGAGAAACTCGGAGATCGAATCACCGCGCTTCAGCAGTTAGTTTCACCCTTTGGCAAGGTTTGCGACGTTCTTCATAATCTTCATGTTATAATAATGTCTCAATTAATTAGTCATAATTACCCAATAAATTATAATTACTTCCGTCATCAATTTTTAAAAAAATACTATTTTCTGCTGATTTATGCAGACAGACACTGCTTCTGTCCTCCACGATGCTATAGGGTACATCAAGTTTCTTCAAGAACAAATCAGTGTAAGTTCAGATTCTCACATAAAATATATTAACTCATGATGTTGGTTTTAAATTACCTTTTTTCTGAAAGATAGTTTTAATTTACAGTTATGTTATATAAATTAATTATTGTTTTATAATCTAAATAGGTTTCGATTAGTAATCCACACCTGAACTCTAAAGGATCTGGTGAACAAAAGCAGGTACTTAAGTTAGTTACCGGTTAAACAACTCTATAATCTAAATTCATATTAGTAGTTTGATTTTTGTTCTTTAGCTTATGATCATAAGATTCTTTCAACTCTAGTGTTCAGACGAATCAAAGAATAATACTTTTGATGAAGATTTTAGACCAAGACAAGATCTTCGAAGCCTTGGTCTTTGTCTAGTGCCGATTTCAAGTACTTTCTCCACCTCTCCGCGACATTTTGATGCATCTAATATCTGGAATTAAACTGTAATAACAAAGCAAAAATATATAAAATTACACGAACACACATATAAGCTTTGTTCTAAAAACTGTAAAGTTTGATGTTAATTTGTTTATAAATTGTGATGTCTCGTTCGTTTGATTACGTCCCTACAAATCTAGAGCTACCCTGACGAATGGCGAAAAAGATTGAATAATTTTGTGATTTTGCAATTCTTTTACCAATCGTACCATTTTTATGGGTTCGTAATTTGTGTTTAGTGACGGATACTATATTCTTATTAACAATTTCTACGTTCTACTACACTTAAGATTCATTTGTGGAATCTTGTGGATTTTCGAAAAATAGTAGGACAAATGAGATGAGTTTTGTTGTTCGGTAAATTAGAGCATGTACATCAGTGAACTCTTAAAGGAGGGATTTATCAGAATATAATAATATTTTTTTTTTTTTAGTTTTTTTTTTTTTAATTCGAAAATTATAATTTTCGACCAATTAGGATGTTCCATTTTGGGATGATACCATTTCTCTTCAAGTTCGTCGGGATGATACTATCTCTTCAGTATTAAGCTTTTTGTTTCAAAACTGTGCCATGAATCCCTCTTGATCCTCTGATTATGCTCTTAGATAATTAATATCTCAATGAAGATGGTTTTTTATTAAAACAATCATCACTTTAATAAAGCAGCTTCCTTTTCATAGTCGTCAAAGGACACGACTCTGTTTTGTTTTTGTTTGTGTCCTCAAATCAAGGCATATGATTGAATAAAAAAACATAAAGCAGTCATCTTTAAGCACTGTTTTCAAAAATCAAAGCACGAGTCAATAATAAACAAACAAAAGAACATAACCCAACTTTTTTGGCGTCAAATGAAATCATTGAAGCTAATTCAAGATTTTTTTTGTTCTCAACAGAGACGATATGCTTTTGTTTACAAGCACGCCACAATTTTTTAAAAATAAAAACCTAATTCGAGAGTAGACAAGGAATTATAAAGTACAATGATTGGTTTGTTCCGGTGGTTCTGTTGTAATAGAAAAGACAGGTTTGTCTTATGGAATCATCAAATTTTGTAGGAAACTAAAGACCAAAAAAGATGGGGGAATTTAATTTTTGAATCCATGATTTCTCACACAAACCAAACAGATCAATCAAATTCATGAAGAAACAACAATTGTCACTGTTTCTGTATATATCAAAACAGTGATTCAACTAGCAAACAGTAGATATATAAATTGAATGAATCTAAAACCAATCAAAGTGCTATTACTACTGCTTTTCCATTTGAAATCATGGCAAAAATGTTAGGCATGACGATTTGATTGATTCCGCATATGAGATATTACACTTACCTGAACTTGACTGTCTGAAGGCACTCTGTAATTTGTTTCTGAACCATTTCATGTAAAAATACATACAACAAATGGTTAAAGACTCGACAGAGATTACAGTTTTCTATGAAAATGAAATGCTCGAATGATCAAAACATTGAAAACAACGATTACAGTTCTCTTGAAAAAGACTCATTTGTATGATCCTTTTATTTCTTTAATGTACAGAAAACAAAAACCGGAAACACATTTGCATTTTGCTTTGTTGAAAACTAAGACTTTTGTTTTGTTCTTCCTTTCTTTTTGTACATGAACTACAAGAGGAGACTCCAACACAGCAAAAACCCAAACTTGCCTCCATATCCATACCAGATAAACAAAACCAGACAACTATAATCCACAAAAACCGCCACCGAAGACAAAAACTGATCTTTTAAACTTCCATTTTCACACTCCCAAAATCAAGAATCCATTGGATACCCAAGTAAAGTATGGACTAAGTTAGTAGCATTCCTCCTGATTTTCTCACTCTCATTGTCCTCCAAACCAAAGCATATCTCTATGACTCCTTCTCTCTTCACATCATCAACGATATCTCGGCTACAACAACACAAGCAATTGAGGATAAACAGAGAATACTGAATCCCTCTCAAACTCCCATTCCTCAAAACATTAACCAAAACCTCAACAAAGCCACTTACTTTGCTCATTTCTTCTCTTCCTCCTCTACACTTAACCAAAAGCCCCAACACTTCCACTGCTCTCTCTAGCCCTGAATCAGCTGCTTCAACCAAAATTGGCACCGACCCACAATCCACAACCCGTTTTCGATTATCCGGAAACGAGCAAAGAGCGTAAAGAGCCGTTGCAGATTCCTTTCTTTCCCGGTCATTTCCATGCCGGAGAAGAGAAACAAGAGCACAGATTGCATCAGGGTATGATCCAATTGTGGCTTTGTTCACTTCCACAACAGCTAAACTCGTGAGCAGAGTAGCAGCAATCGCTTTGCAATCGGGTGACCCGATCCGTAATACAGCAACGATCCGTCTAATCACTCCATCAGCGACTAAACCCACTTTGTTATCATCTTCAAGACTGAGATTCAGAAGCAAAGAGAGAGACTTTTCCTGTAAAACCTGATTACCCGAGTCAACACAGTCTAGAGCCGCGCGAACCGCGCCTGACTCAGTGATTTTCCTCCGGATTGACGAGTCTCGCTTCGTGAGACGGACAAGGCGGGTCAGCGATTCGAGCCTTGACTCGTAAGTCGACGATCGAGATACGAGAGTGGAGATTAAAGATTGAGATTGAGACTGAGAGTGTTCTTGCTGAGTCCGAGGACGTGATTCCTTTGGGCTCACATGGGCAAAGTTTGAAATTAAGCTCCTTAAGGCGTGATTGGGAATCAGAGAAGGGGTTTCCGACAAGGGGAGCTTGGTGATTGGACAAGTTCGATTGCCGGAATCAATCCACCGTTGGATAGAGACTCGGTCGAAAGTATGACCCGATTGGATGATAACCGGGTCAGACATAATCTCCAGGGAGATTGGGCACCTGAAATCGTTTGGCAACTCAAACGCCATTTCCACTTTTACACTTGCAGGGTTTCGAAGTGAGAAAGAGATAAGATTGAGACAGAGAGAGACAGAGAGAGACAGAGAGAGACAGAGAGAGAGCAAGAGAAAGGGTTTATAAGATTCCTGCAGAAGCAGAGCAGAGAACCCGAAAATAAAAGACGCTTACTTTTCTCCGTCTTCGAAATTAATACACACACAGAGAGAAAGAGGGGGTCGTGGACCGTGAAGTTTTGAGATAGATGGAGAAATCGTCCCTTACTGTTTCGTGGACGTCCGGGCGAGGGTATTTTGGGTACATAATGGAGATACCCTCATAAAATTCAACGGTGATACTCATGAGATTCATCACCAATTTTTTATTAATATAATTTTGAGATTTAAAAAATTTAAAACCCCATCAAATTCTATTCTCCAATGATGATCCTCTTATGAGATTCACAGAAAACTTAATAACAGATTTGAGATTCACAGAAAACTTGATAACAGATTTGATAAATCCCTAAATCAGATGAATTTATATAGCAAAGAATAAACTATTTAGGAGTATTATACGGATTCACACTTCAACTGTTAGGAATAACCGTAAATAGAATTAAAAAAATTGTCCCAAAATTTTTTTCCAAATCCGAAAAACCCTAATTTCGCTAAACCATACCCAAAATTAACTACAACACACAATCCATCACCATTATTCACTTACCTTGACGAAGCAGAAGGATATAGAGGTTTCGATTTCGTCTTTGATGTCTCCGATTTTGCAGGTGGAATATCGAAAGAAGAAGAAGTAGTCGATTGAAATTTCGAAGAAGAGAGAAATGGTGAGGTTGAATTGTGTCGGGAAGAGAGAGATTGTCGCAGGAAAAAAAAACTTGGCCAATACATAGTTGCCACGTCGATGATGAACCCATCAAAATTGGATTCTAAAAATCCTTCTCTAAGAGGCGGATCATCAATAAAATGAGTTTAATGATTTTTTTGAAACCCAAAAATTAGATGAACCTCCCCTATGAACCTCTCATGATCCACGGTTGGAGGTGTTCTAATGTATGAACACAGACCATCACATGATTCACGTCCCCCAAACTTTATGTTCTAAAGGGAATACTTCTTTTTTAATTAAGATGGACTTATAACTTTTTGTGAACCACAACCATTTCTCAGACTGCTTAATCTTCAATGTCTGTACAAACGTAATATATTCTTGCCAATTAACCAAAAAGGAATCACATTGATTTTATAGACAGCGAAAGTCGATTACCTCGCCTTAAACTCGATCTTTGAACTTAATCCATATAAACATAATTACGAAGAACCACATAAACATACGTCCTTTATATATATATGCATAGAGCTCAAAAAATTTATATAAACTAAATGACATTGACGAAAGTCTTTTTTTTCCGAATAGGCACGACCCTGTTTATTGGTTGAGTTGTGGAATCTAATCTTTCGAAACTGACAAGCTGTTGGGTAACCCGGCGACGTATCATCCTGATCGACATGGGTGGGGGGGGGGGTTATTGAGGCTCATGTAGATGAGTAGATCATTAAGAATATTTTTCCATATTTAAAATCTTAACATTAGTCACTCATATATATGGTTAAACTATATATACCTACGAGCAGGCTCGGTCTTGAGGGCAGGCGAGGGAGGTGACCGCCTGCACGGGCATCCAAAGGCATATTTTTTTTGGCATCCACTATAAAAAGACATATTTTTTGTTAAAAAAAATTATTAGGGATCAAACTCTAGTTTCCCTCGAATCCAGGTTTAAACCGTTCCAAAAGTATAAACAAATTTTTGGGTTTTTGTTTGATATAAAAAAACTAATATCAGCCATCAATGATAGTTTGAAGAAAACCCGGCTAAGGAAAACCTAAATCTAGCTCAGTAAGAAAACCGTACTGTGGGGGGCAAAGCCCCCCACACCCCCCAAGTGAATCCGCGTCCATTTATGGCCCGTTACATTCCTCAGCTCACTATAAACAGGACCTCTTTAGTTATCTTTGTCATCAGAAACACAACAAAAATGGGTTTGCTTTGTTATCAATTGAGACAGCTATGATTGAAAAACTCGACTACGACAGTTTAATGAACGGTTTTACACAAAAAAATGCAAGAAAATCTATATTTCAGCAATAAAACTATTATGTTTTATTGGATCTTTTTTTTCTTACAAACCGTTTATGAATTTAATTATTTTATTAATTTAATTTTGAAAATATATATAAAAGGACATATTTCAAAAAGTTAGACGCGAGCATCTAAATTGATCGGTCCGGTACTGCCTACGAGACAGTGGCTATAAGAACCAACAGAACGCGAGACTTTGCTGAAATGAATCTCGTCCTTTCTCGGCCACTAATTCTTCGGGGACTCGGGGTATTGATCAAATTATAGAGCGAAGCTTGCTTAGATCGAGACGCTACTTTATCTCAACTATTAACAACTCAACAAGGTGATACTTTTCTCACATGGTTCCGAATCACACAACCTCCATTTAGCAAAAAAAAAGAATCACACAACCTCTACAAGGTTATCCGACGACTACTTCTTATGAGTTGTTAAACTTCTGCTATCTCCCTTAAAAACTGCTTAATCATGTGTTCTGTAATCTTCGTTTAGTGTAAGGCGCAAGTGCCTCTGTAATACAATCGTCCCGGTCGGCTATAAAAATTAACCATAACAAAAAAAAACATTACTCACATATCCATTACTTGCTTTATGACTCTTTTACACGTAAACACATAAATACACGACTTTTATGCGTTTATTATGTAAATACACACAACTTTTATGTGTTTGTAACCACAAAGCTTTTGGAGTTTTATCTATATACTTACACGTACAACACTGATTGCTTAGTTTATCTCTTTTACACGTATAACACATAACACTCACCTCTTATGTGTTTATGTCTTCACAACGTTTGTGTGTTTATTATACTATACACGAACATGCATTAATTATTTTGCGACTAGTTTACACGTAATGCACATATTTTAAATGTGTTTATATATATATATATATATATATATATATATATATACCCAAGCAAGGTATTTTGATGAAAAATATGTTTTTTCTTGATAAAAATAAACTTGTGTTCTTAGATTGTTCTTAGTATGAAGTGTTTCACATCATTCTAACAACAATCTAACTGAAACAAGTTAATTTTAAAATTTTGTCAAACAAAGAAACAAACTGCTCTTGCTTTTGTGTTCTCGTAAAGCTATTCGTACGGTTAGTAGTAATCAGTGGCTTAGATTTTGCGAGTAACTAATCAAAACTAAAAGGAAGTTGATATTTACCTAACCACGTTCAAGGTAATATATTAGCTTTTTTTTAAGTTTTGATTGGTTAACCGTAAAATTTGAAAACACTAATTGTTACTTATCATAAAAAAATACAATGAAGAGTCGAGCTACGAATTTTGGTAAGTTGTTTCCTAAGTGGATAAACCCCCTCGCTGTGAGGTGAGGTTCATTTCTATCTTTAGTCAAAACTTAAAATTATATTTTAATCCGATTTTGAGCTAAGAGTAATTTAGCTGAAATGGGTGAGTTATCTGAAATGGGATAAGATTGCTTTTGTAATTCGATTTGAAGCTCAACCGATTGTTTCAAAATTAAAAACATTTGAATTAACTAATGCCTACTCGCCTTGTTCTTCAGTTGAAACAAATTTCCACTTCAACCAGAAAAACTTAAAGATTAAAATGCAAAAGTTTATGTTTCTGCTAATGTTGTATTGGTGGTGTTTCACACAGTACTGTTGGAATATGCACGGACTTAGATGGCGTGAAGGAGACATCTAAATTCGTAATGAAGTACAAAACGATATGCAGATGTGGTGCATTGCATTCGTGGAAGAGTCGCTGGACAACAAAATTGCAGCAGTGAGACCTTTTAGGCGATAATTCCATAGCAGTTATTATAGGACCTTAATTTACCCAATAGCGCAATCTGAATAATTGTAAAGTAAGTTTATAAAATAACATAAAACAAACGATATGAACAACGGATTTTGCAGAGTTAAGACTTGGTGATCTTTTTCCTTAACTTAAAAATTACCCTGTAGTGTGACGGTGAATGGTGATTAGAGTCTCAAAAACAATTGTAATCTGTCTCCTACTGGCATCATCTGAATCAGAAGCTTAGAAAACTTCATTATGTGTGTACTTTTGCATGACATACTATCCAATATGCATGTGTCTGAAAGATGTTTTACGGAACCCAAATTTTAACATGACAGTTTGAATTGAGTTAGATTTCCAATGCAAGTAGTTTCAAGTCATTCCGAACTATATTTCAAGAGTTCTCATCGATTTAGTATACACATATCATCTCTGCTGAGAATGAGAAAGCATATAGGCTCTCTGCGTGTGTTGATAACATCGGTCATTTGACCAATATATATGACCGACACAGGCGTCTTTTCGAGTTAGATTCAGTTGACCCTATTATCTTTGTTACCTTCTTATAAATACTTGTCTCAACACATTAAACCCTAAGTTTTATTATTTCTAGAGTTGGATTTGGATCCAAATTCATTGATGTTTACCTTTTCATGCCATTCAAGTGACTGATTCTTCATCTCTATCCTTTCTATTTATGTTTATGTTTTTTTCTTGTGTTCTTTATGTTTAGTAGCTAGTTTTTAGTTGGATCATGGGTTAGCTAGCTTAGGATGATTTGATGGTTAGATATGATGATTTAGATTTCTTTTTAGATCCTTCATTTAGGTTATTCTTAGTGCTATTTTTAATTTTGCAAATCAAATTCTAGACTTTAGGCATTTCATGTCTCATGTCTGGAATGTGTTTGTGAAAATGATTGAACAATACTTTTATGAGCTTTATCTACATAGCCAATTAATGGAAACTGATAATTAGAATGTTTAGTGAACTAGAATTGTTTCTTAATACTCATTAATTATCCAATTGCAAACTAAAGTTTAAGTTTTTTAGGTACAGTAATAAGTGAAGTGATTAGTGTCATGAAAGTAGATTAGTCATATTTGTGAATTTCATATTCTAGATAGAGATTAATTGGCTCTTTGTAATTTAGCTGAAATGGGTTTGTAATCTCCGATCTGCAACCCCTTAAGTTAATGAAATGTTTGTTTGCTGTTCAAAAAAAAAAGAGAGTGATTAATTCAACCTTTGCCATCATTGTTTAATTTTTAGTTGACAGTTAAAGCATGGCCCA